TAAATTTTGTTATACAAGAGATAGAAATAATTTAAAAACACATGGCATATTAGCGACCATATTTATCTGCTACAACGCCATTATCGAATATCACCACGTGTTTTACCAAAATATTTTATTTTTATATTCTATATTCTATATCAAAATAAAAATAATTATATCATTTTTCTTGATGTTTTTTTAGTAGAAAAATCTATTTTATTATATACACGATATAATTAAATTTTCCTTTATGTATTAAATTTTATAATAAATTGAAATATCAGTAAAAATGGCTGACATATTTACATGTATATAATTTAATAATTACTTACATATCATTTTATTCTAGAGAATCCATGGAATCATTTTTAAAAACAAATGAATAACTATGTATTACTGTAAAAACACAAAAATATTTCCAAATTTAAAAAATTACTTTTTATTAATTAAATTTTTTCAAAAACTATAAATTCTGGAATAAACAGTTTGCACATTCGTACTTAATACACTATATATAATTATTATATAAAAAAATTTATTAAAGATTACAAAATAGAAAAAAATTTTAAATTTCTTAAATAGTGAATAACGGTTCATAGATGCTTGATGCTTGACTCTAGACTTGCAGAATGTCACGTGAAAATGAAAATAGATTTTAATACGTACGCATTCTGGTAGGTGGCGTAGCAATCGCATAGTTTTACTTCCTCCAATTAAAACGAAATTTTAATAAAATTTTTATTATAAATATCATCAATATCATTATAATGTTCAAATTATCGTTAAAAAACTAATAATAATAATAATAAAGATTTATTAGAAATTTCGCCTATTAATGAATTTCGACTAAGTACTTATTTTATCTCAATATTAATATTTCTAGAGAACTGGCTTTTTTCTATAATTGTATTTTCTATAATGACCATGAATCGCACATGAATATAACTTTTATAATTAAATATGAAATAAATGGTAAAAATTTTTGAAATATAACGTCAATAAATATATTAATAAATATTATCGTGTAATTTATCTATCAAAATTATCAAAACATTATAATAACTGTAAAAACTGTTATAAAAATAGTCAAATAAAAAATTAGAATATTTAAAAATACAATAAACTTAGTATTTTTTAGAATGTATATATTTGTTAGAATATATTTTATTTACAATAAAATATTATTAACGATTTAAATCATAAACACGTGACATCACATGTGATAATAAAGTTTTTATTATCAAATCAATATATAACATTTATGAATATATAATTTAATTAATTTAATTAAATCTGAAATATATATTTTATTTTATTATCAATTAATTTTTACTTTATTTTTATAATTTAAATATTGTTCATTCATCACGAAAATTATAATTTCAAAGAAATTAAATTTCATTTGTGATGTTAATAATATTCATTTGTACGTAGAATATTTATTATAATACATTTGAAACAATATTTTGAGTTATCTTTTGTGACGTCACATTTTTCTCATTATTTTTATTTAAATTTGATTTTTAGATTCTTGTACAAAGACTATATAAACATATAATAGAAGTGTGATAAAAAAATGGCGAGATTTTTTGAATTAGTTACGTAAATTTTGAACAAGTTTGTTTAAATTTTAAAATATTATAATAAAATATAATAAAATAATAATAAATAGTAATAGTAACAAAACATTATATATTGTTTCAATTTAATTCTGATAAACAATCAATAATATCTTATCACATACTACATTTTATGAAGTTAATTTTCGAATTTTTGTTTTTATAAAATCTATTTTCAATTTTTAAATACAAACAACTAACAAGATAAGTAAAAATATTATAAATAACAATTTTCCATTGTAAATTATATAATAAAATTATTCCAACTGAAAGTAATCAACCTTTTATTTCGTCTTACCTAACGTTGCTGTTATTTCCACGAAAATTTTGGTAGACAAAATAAATGTTTTACGAAAGTTCGTTTGCATGCACCGGAAAAGGAAAAGGAAACGTAACAGAGGAACGAAACGATGCAATTTTTACAATCGTACAGTCATTTAAAATAGAGCAAAGTTTTTACGAGGACAATCGTGCTTGAAGAAAACGCCGTAATAGTGGTAGGAAGTCAGAAATTCTTTGTTTTTTATGATGTTATTGCACGTCGAATTTGTTAGAGAAAAATTTACCATCTTTAGGCTAGCTTTGTTACAATAGCTGCAGCTGTTTGATGCTTTTTCAAAGAGAAATGTATTTATGAATTGAAAATAATTACTTTTCGAATTTTTTTATTGTTAATATATGATTTTGATAATATATGATTTTTAATAAAATATATAAAATGTAATAAAATATATCTTTATAAGAAAATAATTATCAATTTCATCCATATTTTTATATTGAAATATTAAATTATTAATATGAAGTCGATATTTTTTTGACACAAATATTTTATTCCAAATAATCTAATTTAAATATTTGAATGTTAAATTAATGTTCAATTGAAAATTTGAAATTTCAAATTTGAAAAAATTAGAATTGATATGTGGGTATCACGAATTTCAAAGACAGAGCTTCTAAAATCTAAAGTTAGATAGAATTTAAGAAAATCTAAGTTATATAGAATTTATCGAAATTTATATCGATAAATTTTCGAACTTAACAAATGAAAATTCGACGTACAAAAGTTAATAATTTTTCAATTATAATTGCTTCAAGAAAGGAAAATTCAATCTTTAAATGATAATTATATATATACATACAATAAATATTACATAAAAATATAAATATAATCATGAAATTAATGAAAAACGATTGCTTTTTATGAATATGCATGTGAAAAATGAAAAAAAAGATGAAAAAATAAAAATATGGCTCGTTTTTATATTTTATGCTTTTTATTTATCTCATAATGTCTGAGATAATTGAAAAGAAATTGATTGATCGAATGATTTATGATAACATCTTGTGATACATAGCTATAAATTTCGAATTGTGGAGAAGTTCGTAAAAAAATTTTGATTTGTTGAAGATAATTATTGTAAATTTAAGCTAAAATAAGTCCGAATACGCGGCAAATAATTCGAATTAACATAAATTTTCAATTCAATTAAATTAAATTCATTTCGATTTATAGAAATGTACACAATAGATTCAAAACAAATAAATAAAATTATAGTCTTATAAAGATTTTTGATTTATTAAAATTCATATTTATACGATAAATAAATGAAGCTTAGTTAAAAATAAATAAAAATACGAGGCAAATATGGATTATTTATGTTATTTATTTAACGTTTAATAAAGGAAAGAATATGATCCATAAATGAAAAAAAGGAAAAAATTTTGTAGAAATAAAGTTTCATGAAGAAATATACAGAAATACTGATGTAATAACGGATTCTGCATTATAGAATACAAAAGGTCGATCATATTTACTTTATATATATTTATATGGTGTTTCTTGTTTTGAGATAATTTGAAGTTAACAGTCATGCCAATAATCGTTTTTCAATTATTATATACAAGTACCGTATAAAATGTCAAATTGCTTTCAAATTAGAGAATTATCATCCCAAGAAATCTTAAAAATCTTAAAAATAGAGAAAAATACAAACATATTATAAAATTATTTTATTTTCTAGATAAAAAAATATTCGAATTATTAATTGAAAATATAATTTAATTTTATATAAACAAAATAAGATAAATGAAAGATCTATTTAATAATATTAATAAAAAGCCCTAAATAGCTTCATAATTTTTTTAATAATAAATGTCATTATACTTTATAACGAAATTGTATTTTATAACAATCACATTTAATGATACAATAAATATATTTAATCTATAGATTTTCGAAATATAAAAATCAATTAATTTTTCTAATTAAAAATTTGATATTCATTATTAAAGTTTTAAATCTATTTGTTCCAAAATCTAACTCTAATAATCCAAATATAGATTAGACATTTAAGATACATATCTTAATTTATAGATTATAAATTATAAGCTATAATATAATACAAAGAAAAAGAAATAAAAAAAATATTCATTTATGAAGAATAATGAAACGTTCTAATAAGCCTTTCTTTTAAATATCCTTATAAATCATTATTATATAGTTCTGTCAATTCTTAAATTCTTAAGTCAACCTTTGTCAAAATCAATCTGCATTCATTTCCTCTAAATATTTGAAACGAAAAGAGAAAAGGATATTTTCCTTTTAAATCCTAAATTATTATTCAAATCAAATCTGTCAAATTCAAACATCAACTTTCAAATTTCTTCTTATAATATAAGAACCTGATGTATAATCCAAGGTAAGTGTACTTACTACATAGAGAGGAAAATATATGCGCATAGCATCCCTTTGCAAAATTGAAGTTCATCAGCGGAAGTTGGAAGTTCACGGAGGGCCAATTCGACCGAATTTGCGCAAGGAAATAACGACAGATAATTTCCGTGAGCTTGCATGCATAAGCCGTTGCTGTTGGCTCATCTCGTGAGAAAAATGCATCTTGGTCGGAGAGAGGGAGATAAGAGCAGGGTTGAATGGGAGAAAATAGGCAGAGCCGCGGGTTCTCGCGACCAATGAGGCGTCAGTGCACAAGGTAGCGGCCAATCACGAACCGTGACGAAACGATGGCTCCTCAGCGACGGCAAGGTTGTATAAATTTGCGTGGTTCCCTGGTTGGTCCCTTCATTTCATATCAGTTCTCTTCTCGGAGTATCGTTCGCGTCGTCGATATTTGCTTTTTTAAAAAGTTTAAAAGTCCATCGTTCGAAAGGGTTTTCATTTTCTTTTTTTTTTTTTTTTTCACAAAAATAACCCTTTAACATAAGTTTTCAATAGTGAAATGACATACTCAGGTAAATAACATTATCGAGTATTTCATTCGAAACGATAGTGTATTTAATTAAAAAAGTTAAAAAAAAGAGTAAAAAAAAAAAAAAAAAAAAACAGTGATATCTCAAGAAACGTGTGCGGGGGGTGTGTGTGAGACGATTTGATTCTGAGGATAGAATGCAAGGTTATCAAAGGAATTTTGAAGATGAACAAAGGGATCAGAAGGAGGAGGAGACGATAGTGGTGGACCTTGTACCCTCTCAGTATCAACTCAGTCCTCCGGAAAGTCCGCCGCCGGGGAATATGCCAAAAACACCTGAAAAAGGTTAGTCGACGAATTTTCGCATGACATGTTTTAAAAAGTTTAGGAGAAAATCGATTTTGATTTCATTCGTTTTCAAAAAAAAAAGAAAAAGAAAAGAATCGTCTCTCCTCTTTCGTCGGCTCGCTAAAAATGTCTCGATTTCCAACAACAAATGACAGGCAGGTACAAGAACAATAAATATCTCTCTTTCGACGCAGGTAAAAATATTTTCAAGAAAAATATCTTCTTATTTATATAATAATATCTGTAATAAGTACGGGACGTTTGTATTTAAGCTAATAAAATATTTACCAAAGCGTTAATTAATCACAAAGTTAATCCAATTTGTCGTTAATGCTTTGTCGTTAATGGGTCTGACTGTAATACATTATGATGATATATTTTCAAGGTTCTAGTGGCCTTTCTGTTCATCGTAAGAACGGTCATGAAAACAAATAAACGAATACTGTTTCTTATTGTTAACGAATACTGTATAATCCCTTCGTCTAAAAGTAGGATTATAAGTTATTATTTTATGGTTGATCATGGAAAGTCCTTTTCAAAATTTTAGCTTATTGTCATACCAGAATTGATCGAGTATAAACGTTAATAAATCTTCATCGGATTACGATGCCTTTGTTTCTCTCTCCGTCTTCAAAGAGAAGCTTCTCATCACTTGAGATTTACATTAAAATATTAATAGTCTTTTTTCCCCATTCTAATGGGGATCATTATTTATTATCTCTCATCATCTCAACCATTTAAATCGTTAATTTTCGAAAATCATTCAAACATCACGTTGACAAATATTATTGAATATTCATTATTTCAAATTTTTTTTCGGAGATTCGCGATAATGGAAGTTTATTTAAATAATAACACGTTAAATACGTGTTGAAATATAAAATATTTGCGTTTTTTTTTTCTCTCTTTTGTCTTAATCTATTTAAATCGTTAGATAATTTTCGAAATTTATTCGAACGTCACGATGACAAATATCGTATCATTGGATATTCATTATTTCAAATTTTTTTTCAAAGATTTACAAGAAGTTTGTTTAGATAATAATTTCTTAAATAGACGTTGAAACGTAAAATATTCGCGTTTCTCTCTCTCTCTCTCTCTCTCTCTCTCTCTCTCTCTCTCGCTCTCGCTCTTTCTTTTCTTCATTCTTATTAAATCGTTAAATTTTCGAAACTCTTTCAAATATCTCAATGATGAATATCATTATTCGAATAGTCATTATTTCAAATTTGTTTTCGAAGATTTACGAGAAATTTGTTTAGGTTTATACCTAGTCGTGGAAATGGAAGAAGGGACATTTATCCTCTTATCCCATGAAACAGAAAACGAGTAAATGCATCGGCAAACCGAGGAAAATTGTGATAAAAGAAATTGTGGGACTGCCGAAAATGAGTTCAGGTGAGGTTTAACGCCCCTCTGAAATCTTTTCAATCTCTCGTCCTTTTTCATCTCGTTTACACGACTCTAAATAACGGCCCCCCTGCTATTTACCGTGGCGTTCAGCGTGTAACCGCATCGCGAAAACTTCCCCCGTGACAATACCGCATTCCTTCCGAGACAAATTTTGTAGCGTGTCCGACGATATTCGCTCGATATTCCTGAAAATTTTTCGATTTTCTCCCAAATTTTTCTCCCAAATATTTTATAGATCTCTTTTTCGTTTCTCGACGAAGAGATTCGGTTTTTTCGAATCTGTTTAATTTAATATCTCTAAATAAGATTATTTTGTTTAGAGGATCGTTGCACGAATTTTAAAATTTTTGAAATTTTTTAAAAATTTAATTTTGTAATAATGTTACAGATATTTATTTTTACATTATGACACATCTAGTTAACAAGTGTATTATTATCAATTTCTTCAGATTCACCATCGCAGAACCAATCATTGTCCTCAATGGACCCAAATATCAGAAGGTACAGGACGGCTTTCACTAGGGAACAGTTATCGAGATTAGAGAAAGAATTTCACAGAGAGAATTACGTGAGCAGGCCAAGGAGGTGTGAATTAGCCGCACAATTACACCTGCCGGAATCCACAATCAAGGTAGCTTAGAGTTTAATTATCGAACGATCAATTAGATAAATCGTTTCATACCATCCACTACGACAGAATATTTATCGAGGATAAGTAAATGTAATGAAGTTCAGTGTAAAGTATGAAGTAAACAATGAGCTCATCTTCCGGCCTATACATAGAAAAATGTTTTATTAACACCTAAGCATGTTTAATTAATATCTGTAATCGATAGTGACGAAAATACACAGGATAAATCTTTGAAGATCTTTTTCCTTTTTTTCGTTTCCTTTTACGCAATTTTTCGTCGAACGAACCTTCGTTCGAAAGAATAAAATTTCTTTCATTTGTTTAAATATATTTTAATCAAACGATAAAAAAAAAGATATTTCGCTTCGATATATTATATTATATATTTCGAATAATATTATAATATTTATATATTTATATAATATTTTATATTAAATTATAAATATATTTCAACAGAAATCAAAGACTCAAAACGATGAAGCTATTCATATACATATTAGAATTATTAAAAATGTTAATTTCATTAGAAACATAAGCGCACTTTTAAATACATACAATAGCATTTTTAAATACATTTTAAATTTTAAAAATAATTTTACGAATCGCTATATTGATATCAAATAGATTTTAATAAAGAGAAACGTTATAGACAAATTATTGTAGTTGTTGAATAATTTTTAAAATGAAAGGATATATCGAGACAATTAATTATCGAGCCGAGTTTCGTGAATGGAGAACATTATTTTAGTTATTTTTAAACGGCCATTGATTATGATTCGAAAAGAGGTGGAGATGAGGAAGAAGAGTAAAAGTCCGTTATCGATTCTTTTTCTTTTCTTTTTTTTTTTTTACTTTTCTCTCTCTCCAACGGGCGAGCAAACAGTCAATCACGAAGGGCAAACAAAAATTTCTTCGCCTTCGATCCCCCTTGATCCTTTTTCCGTGACTTCTTAATTTCTTTCGACCAGGACCGGTCGATCCGGTTCGAGGTGTTAAGCACTTTAATTAGCGGTTTTCCCGGGTTACCTTTGACTTTAATGGATCCCTTAATTTCTCATCTCGCGCTACCTTGACCGCACAATAGCTATAAAACCATCTACCGATGGAAATGATCGAGGTGTTAAATGATAGAAACGTTAGCTACAACAACATCTCTACAACAAAATCTCCAAATATATCATAAAACGATACTTTAACTTTCCAAAAAAAAAAAAAAAAAAAAGAAAAAACAAAAAGACCTCAAAAATTCAAATACTCTCTTTATCAGACATATTACACTACAATACTCAATTTTAATAAATTTATCCAACTCCAACTTCAAGCAAGCAATTCTATCGAATTTTCCAGGTTTGGTTTCAAAATCGTCGAATGAAAGATAAACGTCAAAGGATGGCAATGGCATGGCCCTACGCCATGTACACGGACCCAGCGCTCGCAGCGACTCTCCTGGCCGCGGCGACGGCGTCCTTGCCACCGCCCCCTTACCACGGGCCACCGGGCATACCACCGACCCACCTGGCCCCGAGTTACCCCGCGGCTGCAGCTGCGGCTTACTACGCGGCGAGGTACACGCCGTACCCATCGCCGGTCACGGGCACGGGTTCGTCGGCCCTCCACAGGCCCCATCCGCGCACAGCGGCCGCTTATCCGGCGCACCCTCACATACTTCAACCTCATCCATCGCTCCAACCCCTGCATTTATCCGGCCTGGGCGTTCCCACGGTCGGGAACACCGCCTTCCAGATGAACAGCCCACCCTCGAGCGCCTCCACCACCTATAGACCGACCTTGCACTCGGAGATGAGTCCGGTCCATTCCGACGCGTCGAGCGACTGCGACTGCGTCGGGACGCAACCACACCACAACGGACAGCAGCACATGGATGGGAAGAGCCCGTCACCCAATATAACTCACGCCAACCAACAAATATCATCCAAAGTACAGCCAACGGGAATCAGTATCAACGGTTTGCCGAGCAGCATTCAAACAATCGGTGTATTCGAAGGAAAGAATTCGTACAGTGCTATAATGGCATCGCCCACCAAAATGGAACCACCCAAGTTATTCCAGCCATACAAGAACGATATATCCGAGAGGGCGTAAGAACGATTGGACGAAATTTTTTTTTTTTTTTTTTTTTNTTTTTTTTTTTTTTTTTTTTTTTTTTCGGTTCGGATAATAACCAAATAGGCAAGAGAAATTGAAGGGAAAAATTCAAAGGGGATTCCCGTTGAATTTTTGAATAGTTTTTAAATTAATTTAGGAGATTTTTTTTTTAAGAAAAAAATCAAGTTCTTCAAAGCTGGTTGTGTTAAATGTATATATAATTGTATTGTATATAGTCGGTGTTTATTTAGTATATATCGTATAAATATCGATCTTAGTATAAATTTAAAAAATAAGATTTGATTCTTAATCTGGTCATATTATAAGTTTCTTCTATTAAAGAAAACAGAAAAAAAAAAAAAAAAAAAAGAAATACGCGAAAAGACTGTTAACGAAGCGTAACGATGGTAGTTGAACTGTTAATATATCAGATCGGGAATTTTATTTTTTATTAATTCGTTCGTATTGAAATTTCTTTTAGCAAGATCTAGAATTTAGAATAATTTATTTTTTTGTTTTTAATCTGGTTATATTGAAATTTCTTACATTAAGAATGATAAGTGGGATGTTTCTTTGAAACAAAAATTGAACCGTAGCCGAAATATAATAGAAACGAGAACTTTTTATTCTTAATTTAATGAAATGTATTAAATTGTTTTATGTGAAACATAAACATTTGGGAGTTGAACTGCCAATAGGACCGAGACTGAATGCAAATGTAAATAATATTAAGGATTTATCGTACGAAATGAAAATTGTACCTGTTAATAATTTTAAATGAAATCTGCGTCCGAATTTTATATAGGTAGAATCTGTAATATATAAAAGTAGTACTTAAATGTTTCAATATAATTAGATGCTTAATGTTTTTTTAATTTTGATTTTTGATAAGAATGTAAGAATTTTAATTAATTTATCAATTTATCTATTTGATAAATTTTTGTAGAAAGTCTTTGTAATTAGAATACGTTGTATCATTCATTCATTATTTAGAGTATATATGTATATTCGCAATCAATCGTCTATACACCAAAGTATTTATATCACAATATTGTTAATATTTAAAATTAAGTATCCGTGTTCGTTCGAAAATAGGCAACATCGTAAAGAAAAAATAAATATAAATATATAAGATATATATGTAAGATAAGCATAAAAAAAAAAAAGAAAAAGAATATATATATATATATAATTATACGAAAACGTCACGAAATCATTAAGTTATTAAGCTGTTAAATCATTAAGTTGTATAGTCTACCTTCAAAAAAAAGAAAATAGAAATATACCTGATAAATTTTTGGTTGTTATGATCCTCGACTATTTTGTACCAAATATATCGAATAATGTGACCATTTTATAACCAATAAATGTAAATGAATAATAAACAAAAAAATACAAATCTAGTTATAACTTTCATTAAGTCGTTTTACAGATAAATAGATAATTATTCAATTTTCAATAATAAAAAGAAATTCGTACGTTTCGCAAAATTGTTGTTAAAATCAACAATCGATAAAAATAAATTTATTCATAGTGAAATAATAAAAAAAAAATATTATAGGAAATGATTTTAATTCTATGTATTTATCTCCTACGTTACGTTGTATCATGTGTTGAGGAAAAATATTTCTACACAAAAGTAGATTGTATTATTTATTTTTTTTTTTCTTCGTGTCTTAGAAATATTACTAGTATTGTATATACATATTTCTGTACTTATTTTAAATAATTTCTGTATTATTTCTATGTTGTTATGTTTTGTTTATATTTTATGTGAGCAACAATAAAATTAATCGTTGAATTAATAGCTTGTATTCATTGTAATCAAATAATTATAATATATACACTGTCTTCCCGACAAACTTAATAATAAAGAAAAAAATGATAATTACATGCTATATCTATTCATTCTTATCCTCGGATAATTTATTGTCGATAGAATAATTAAATTTTTGTTTAAAAACATTGCGATTATTATAAAGAAAAACTATAAACTTAATTACGTATAAATAATAAATAATAATTTAATTTTTAATTAAGAGAGAAAACGAAAAATTATGAGATAGGATAAAAAAATGAGATATACCAAAGATTTGATTTATATATAGTAATGAAAATTTTTTTTAGTAATTAAAATTCAAATAGAATAAAAATCTCAATGAACTTTAACATTATTATCGTCTTTCGTATCTTTTCATTTAATGGATTGTTTCAAATGCAAAAACAACAAGAGTGCATATTTCAATGATATTTATTCCGAATCATTTAACGGTATCTAAGAATCAAAAAAAAAAAAAAAAAAAAAACACATTATTGTATAATAATCGTATTCTTAAGATATTGATGGCGGTTTAAAATATGTTTTCCATTAATATGTTTTCGTTTAATCGATATTTCTCGTTTCTGCCGCGATAGGAAGTTTTCTATATGTGCATAATTCATTTATTCTGATTCATTTTATGTCATAAGAACCAAAGAAAATATTGTACAATAATCGTATTCTTAAGATATGAATAGCGATTTGAAAATAGGTATAATGACGGGAAATTGAATATGAATTAATAGACAATTAATATTTATGAATAAAGAATGAAATGGATTTCGCTTAAACGATTTGACGTCAAAAGAATTAAATTGAAAAAAAAAAAAAAAGAAATACGCGCCTAATAAAATTGAAATTATAGATTCAATTTCATAAATTATTATAGATCTATTATGATTGATATTGCGTAGTTGCATTTAAGATTTTTATATCATTCAAAATATTTTACGCAATTTCATAATTCTCAAAAATTTTATTATCTCATATTATTTATTACTCGTTTGATTTTGTTTAATTTACAAAAAGTAAAAAATTTACAAGTTTTTTTTTTAGGTTTACAATATTTATATTTATGCAACATTTTTTTTATGAAATTTCATGAAATTATTTATTCGATTTTTTTATTTATAACTATTTTCAAACTGTCAAAGAATATAAAAAAGATCTATCTATACTATTTCTATTTTCTCTTTTAATGATTAAAAATTATAGAATGCAGCATTATGCTAATATTAAATTTTTAGAAACATTAGAAATGAAATCATTTCTCAATTCCAAATCAAATCAAAATTTCATTGAAAATTTTCAATATTTTCTCTTCTAAACAAATTATCAAGTCTTTGCTATCGATGCTTAATTACGAATTGTTGTGAAATATCGATATCACAATAAAATAATATAATTTATCCTATTTTCTCTAAATCCTTCCTCTTCTTTCTTTTGTAAGAAAAAATAGGAAGCATTTTGTACAATAATCGAAGCCTATTTACAAAATGAATATGTATTACACAAAGAAGCAGTAATACCAATACGATTATTGTGCAATATAGATCGAATCTATACATATAATAACAATGATAGCAATAAATAGATGCCATTGCATAAATAGTGAAAACTACGAATTCAGTTGATCTCAGAGATATCATTTACGTTATACTTGAGGGTACATAGACAATTAACTCTTCGAACGATTCTGATGGGAAAACAAGATAATTCTGTATAAACGCCACCAGCTTAACGACCCATTGGGGTTTAACTATAAGTATACTATCACCCGTTTCCCCTTATTTGACATGGCCGAATTGAAACACATTTTGGGGAACTGCACTGGGATAGGATTTCTGGAATAGAATGCGTGAAACAATTTCTCGTGAAACGTGAAACTCTTATTATAATGATTATCATTATTTTACACTTTTATCTTTTTTTTTTTTAAGTTTTAAAAAAATTGTATTATTTGTAAAATGACCAAATATAAAGTATTAAATAGAAATATACATAAGATACAATTAGATAATCTTTGTGTAAATAGAGATACGTTTATTTTTAATTCCTACAATTTTTATTAATGATGAAATTAATTGAATGATTAAAAATTTCGAAGAGAATCAATTTAAATTGGAAAATCATGTTAAAAAGTATTAAAAGAGCTAAAAAAATAAAAAATATTAATTGCGTGGATGCAAGATAAAAAAATGACAGGAGACAAGATACCTGCTACTCATAAAAACATAAAATTTTTAACCTGGAGGAAAAAAAATCGCCACGCTAATCTACCGTCATAAATATAAAACGAGCCGTTTTGTTGGTCGCTTGTAAAAAAATTATCGAAAAAATTTTAGAAAAAGACTATCAACCAAGAGAAGATACCCAAGCTTTGTCTAAAAATATTATAAAATATTTAAGCGTTATATTATCTAGGCGAAAACTTATTGCCGTAAAGCGATTAGCCTTTTCAATGGTCAAATAGTCACAGAGGTAACTATTAGTGTCTTCAATTTTCTCACCCAACTTTTTTTTTTTTTTTTTCTAACTTTATTTCTTATGTCCCATACTATTTCATCTGGCTCATCGTTAAGAAACGTATATAAATACATAGTTTTTTTTATTGTACTTTTTCAAGCACTTTCTCCATCTTTTATTTAAGAAATAGTTGATTTTAATTGTTTAGAGATATAATATAAAAAAAATTTTTAATTATAATAAAGAAAATGAATTATATATTGAAAAATTTTTAATATTTTATAAGTATCAAATACTATATTTTAATTTGTGTAAATTATTTTAAAATAATTATTATCGTAAGAGAATAGAAAAATGATACAAATAATACAAAATTAAATACAATTTTATTTATGATCTATCTTTTCTCTATACTATAATAAATATCATTTAACAAAAATTATTAAAATAAAGTATATATTGAAAATTATTTTTATGAAACAATTAGAATTATATTAAAAAAAAAAAATGGTATACATGAATAAAAATGAATCCCTATCGCAAGATCGATCATTTTCTTTCTATCCCACGATCCATACGAGTTCATCAAATATTAATATCCAATTTATACCTTCGATACAAGGATCATCCCCCCAAATATACAAGCTCGTCCCTTCGAAATTACATCGAGAACCCTCGCTTCGATAGATCGTCACCCTCCAGTTTAGATGGT